AAGGGGAGGCAGCTGTGGAAGAGACCCAGGAGAAGACAAAAAAAGGGGTATGGGGTGAGATGAGAGCTCCCACTTGACCACAGTTCCCACCCCTGCCCTTGTGTAGCTCTTCACCTACACCATCAACCACTCATCTCAAACAGGCAATGGTCCAGGGCAGGCCTTCAGACTACTACAGTCAAGTGGACAGCGAGGAACCAAAGTACCAGGTCAGCCAACTGTTCTGAGCCTAGGCAAGGGCAGGGGGAGTGTCATGAGAATGTACTGTGGAGGATTGGAAGATGACAGCCAAGACAGATACTCCAGGAAGCCTGCAGCGGTCTTGGGTGCCGAGCCCATGGGATCCACTGTAAGGGATGAGGGGCTTTGTGGAACACAGAGCTAGGTGTACCAATGAGGAAATATTAGGAAAGGCACAGTCGGTGCCCTCCATAATCTCCACAGATTAGGACCCTAACGTGCTCAAAATCTACGAACAGTTTCTGAATGCTCGTAAGATGACAACCAACAGCCTCCAGCCTGGTGGGCTCCACCCTCTCCTTCCTCAACCTTACCAGACACTCTGCCACCCAACATGCATCTAGCTACACCAGGTTGGTTTAGTGACTTGCAAGAACCACACTCCTTTTTATGTCATGGTGTCTTTGCCTGCACTGTCCTTCCCATCTAATTAATTCCTACTTTTGATTTCCTGGAAGTTCCAGAGAAGCTGTCCCCCACTGTCTAGTGAGAGCCTGCCACATCCTCAAGTAGACTGGCTTCTTCCCACCAAAAACACTACAACCACCTGCTGAAACTCTCTCCCACCCAGACCAAAAGCTCCAGGGAAACAGAAACCACACCTGTCTGCTCACTCCGCACCCACAGCCACTAGTCCGCATCCCTTCACTGCACTGAATATTTAGGAGACTCATAGGTGTGTACCATGAATGAGATTGGCAATAAGTCAAACACTTCCACTGGGAGGGTCAGTTCTGATGACACCCCCTTACCGCCTCTGGGAGTGAGCGCCTGCATTAACACCAACAGCCAGCAGGGGGCAGGGCACGAGGTAGTTAAAGCTAGGGATGTTAGGCTCAGAAGTATGGGTCTTGGTCAAATAGCAGGTGTGCAGTAGCCTCTCTTGGCTTTGTCCACCACTCAGAGCTGGACAAAGACTGTGGGCCCCAGAGAGGCAGCAGGAACCTCACACATGTCCAGTGTACCCCATGGGGAAGGGACCTAAAAGTCTGACCTATTCTGATCTCAGTGGGGAACAGCAAATCACCTGAGCTTAGGTCCTGACACACACTGTAGTTTCTTCCATTTTCCAAGCTCTAAGAAGCTGATTCCCCCTTTTTATAAGTGAAGCAAAAAGGACAAGAGAGGACAAGTGACTTGCCACATCCATGAGCAAGTCTTGCCATGGTAAAAGGCAGTGGCATAGGGAGCCAGGCTTCACAGGACCAAAAACCATGGTTGTCTATCCTGGATGAAATTACAACACAGAAAATCAGGTACCTAATGTGATCCTCAGCCCTGACAAGTGCCCAGAGACAGCCTTCATTATCAGGAATGAAGGGGGTTCCCTCAGTGGGTGTGTGTGTATGCATGGAGGAACCAACTTTATAGAGTGTGCCGAGCCTCGGCCTATGCAATAGGTGAAACACAGCTAATTCCTCCCCTTTAAAGCATCAGGATGGTGTTGGGCGAGCTAAGAGCTGAGCTAGCAGAACACGAGGGAGAACCTGAGACACTCACTGTAGAGCAGGGGGACAAGGCCATTGGTCAGAGGAAGAAAGTCCTCTCTGAGCTGAAAACAACAGCAGCAGTTGAACGTGGCTTGAGGCTCCAGGTCAGAAGGGAACCACAGAAGGAAGAAGGCACTGCTAAGGTCCTGCCTACTCTACCCACAAAAGCCCATGTGCCCATGGCCTAACTGCCAATTACTCCTATGCAGGAAGCAGCCACTTGCATAGCTGATATCAGCCCAGCAGAGGGCAGCAGAGACTGAGTCTGTTTAACTCCTATTTCCAGCCTTCTCTCACACAAATCCTGTGGCACTGAACCCAACCAACCTACACTGAAGAAAGTCCTGGACACTCAGATGCAAAAGAGTCGCACCTGGGCAGGATGGTCTCCGAGAGAATCCCAGATTGGGCTCTGCTGTACAGACTGAGGGATTCAGTCCTCAGCCAAGGGCAGCCACCTACTGGTCAGAAGGCAGGCATACTGAGGAGGCAAGAGCTCAGAGAAGGAGGCAAGCTCCTGCCTGAGTAAGGCAGGAAGTTGGGCTTCTTCACATGAGAGAACACTGATGGGCACAGGATCAGGGACATCCTTCAGATCAGAAACCTGGACCTTGGAACGCCCTGATCCATCAAGTCTAAGCCTTTTGGTCTCAGAACCGACACAGGAGATGATTGTCTGAACATAAACAGGAGCACAAGGCTAAGGATGTCTCTGCCTGCTTCACTCAGCTGTCCACCTGAGCCAGACACAACACTCAGCCTGGGCAAACCCGACAGGATGAGTCCAGCAGTCCCCTACAACCCCCTACCCCCACTGAACCCCAGGGTGTGGCACCCCCCCTGTGCAGGGGATTCCCTAGACTGGCTGTCCCTGAGTCAGAGGCAGGGTGTACCTTGGTAGCTGGTGCTGCCACTGCTGCTGAGGTAGGACTCCACCAGGGGGGCTTGCTCCTCTGACTGCCGGGCCCGCCGGCTCCGGGGACGCCCATCTGCATTGGCCTGCACCATCAGGGGCTCCTGGCGCTTCTTCTTCTGCTTCTGCTCCAACAGGGCCCGCTACAGAGGCACAGGGCAGGCACAGAGGTGGACTGGCCCACCACCTCCTCCAGGAGGAAGGGGTTCCCACAGTGGGGTCAAAAGGAGCACCCTGATCTCTGGGCTAGTTTCCAGAAGTTGTACCGGGGTCTCTAGCCTTCTCTGGGTAAAGTTAATATAATAAAACAGAGCTGATAAAGGAGAGAGTTCACTTCTCTACCCATTTGACAGGGTCATCCAAAGAAGAGGGACTCTCACCCCTAGACACCCCTGCTAGGCTCTGCCTTCCCACCAGCCCAGTGTCACTTACCTGCCGGTCAAGCTTCTGCTGCCTCAGGTTGCTGCCCTCATCATCTAGGACACTGTAGGGGGAGAGAAAGGTATTCAGGGCTGCCCAGTGAGGTTCTAGTAGGTGTCCAGACCCCACCCCCATCTTTGAAACTCCTACCCTGGTTCCCAGCGAGTCCATGTGGTGGAAGGAGAAAGAATGGAGGCTGCGGTCTAGGAGCTAACTCAAGACAAGAAGGCAAAGGGTGTCTGGCATTCAGTAGTAGAACACTTGCCTAGTGTGTGTAAGGCCCTGGATCTGATCCCCAGAGCAAACAAAACAAAGCCTTAAGACTGGGTGTGGTGGATCATGCCTGTAATCCCAACACTAGGGAAATTGAGACAGGAGGACAGGGGTTCAAGGTCATCCTGGAGACTCTGTCTTAAAAAAAAAAAAATCAGAAAACAAAGGGCCAAGCCATATTTCTGCCATGTTGGTAGCTTATCCTCCTTCATTACCTAAAGGACTTCCAAGCTAGCCTGGCCCTGGTAAAAACAGGATGAAACTCCTTCAGATGCCTGAGCAGGGCCAAGCCTGACAGAAAACCATCAGTCATTAGCCAATCCCAAGAATAATGTCCCTCATGCCGGGACTTGCTTCTGCAGTTCCTTACCATCTCCTCATCTGCTTCTTTCCATCCTTTTTGGAAAGAGCTGGGTCCTCTGTGGCAGACCATCTCCCTATCCCAAATTCCTGGCTCCCAGGCAGGAACAGGGAATGTACTGTCACAGCCCTGCTCCCCTAAAGAGAGCATAGTATCCTCATTTGGGAGAGGCTAAAATGCTAACTCAATTCCCCAGGACAAGGCCAGGGCTAAGTAAGAATAATTGCAAGGTAGCCACAACTAGCTAAGGCACAGCCCAGCAAATGGCTTTTAACCCTTCCCTGGCCACGGACACACAGCCAGGTAGTACCAAGAGTATCCATCCGATCCTTGAGTCCCACAGTTTCTTCTCAGAGACGGCTCCTGCCCCCTAGGAAGGCAGACTATGAACAGAGAACTGTTGTAAATAGTATTTTTATACACTGTGAAGATGTGTTGCTCTCATTGGTTTAATAAAGAGCTAAATGGCCAATACCTAGGCAGGAAGAGAGTAGGCAGAACTTGCAGACAGGGAGAGTGTTCTGGGATGAAGAAGGACCGTGTCGCCTGAAGATGCAGGGAGAAGCAAGATGAACACACCATGTTGAAGAAAGATACTGACCCATGTGGTAGAATGTAGATAAGAAATATGGGTTAATTTAAGTTGTAAGAGCTAGTCAGTAACCAGTCTATTGGTATCAGCTGAGCATTTATAATTAATAATATGTCTGTGTGGTTATTTGTTAGCTGGCTGGCGGGAAATAAAATTTTGCTTACAGCGAACTAGTAATTTAAAATCATTTAGCTTTCTTGCTAGATCAAGACACCTCTGGCCCAAATTCTATGAAAGGCCAACTCAGGAGGCTGCCAGGGTTGGAGGTGGAACCTGGGGCTGGGAACTCTGGAAGTTCCAGACTGCTTCTCCTACTTCTGCTGGACCCTGGTTGAATCAGATCTGTGGGTAGAGCCATGCTCAGACAGATCCGGGTGCATCGAGTTTGTGAGGGACTGTAAGGTGGAGTATGAATGGCTCTCCCGTATGTGCACATGTGTGTGCAGGCATCTGTGTCAAGAGGCAGGCTTGCAGCCGGGCGTTGGTGGTGCACACCTTTAATCCCAGCACTCAGAAGGCAGAGGCAGGCAGATCTCTGTGAGTTCGAGGCCAGCCTGGTCTACAGAGCAAGTTCCAGGACAGGCTCCAAAGCTACACAGAGAAACCCTGTCTCGAAAAACCCAAAACAAAAACAAAAACAAAAAACAACAACAATAAAAACAAAACAAAACAACAACAACAAAAGGCTTGCTTGTCTAAAGGTGAGCACATTGTGTGTGGACAGGAAAAGACAAGGTCAAAAATAACTCCAAAACTGAGGTGAGTCATGCTTACCTTCTGACAGCTGAACCTATACATCTCTTAAACTACTTACTTTAGCCACCCATTGCCATTCACCCCCCTGGCCACCTATGACTACTATGCCCCCTTTTAACTGACGTCTGTCCTAACTACTTGACAGGAGAAGGGAAGACCTTCTCCTGGTACCTCTGGGTTGATATGCACATCAGGGGAGCCCCAACTGTTTATACGGCTGTGTACAAAATGACCTCATTTACCAAACCCTCAGCTGCTGGAACACAGGGAAAAACACATCTCAAAGACAAGGTTCTAAGCTTCAGTCTTCCCAAGACAGCCCACCTGCCCAAGAACACCTGAATCTGGGGCTCCCAGACACATTATTAGGACCCAAGGCCTCAACAAGCTGCCTAAAACTTCAGTCTGGATGAGCTCTCTAAGCTTCAGTCTTCCCAAGACAGCCCACCTGCCCAAGAGCACCTGAATCTGGGGCTCCCAGACACATTACTAGGACCCAAGGCCTCAACAAGCTGCCTAAAACTTCAGTCTGGATGAGCTGATGAACATCTTGCCATGAAAAGCAGGCTGACCCTGTGGGGCACCTCTAGGAGACCTAGGTCTCTTGATTCTCTAGAAAGAGCACAGATGTCAGGTGATCCAGACACCAAGGGCCTTGAAAGGCTGGAGAGGCCACAGTTTCCCATCGCCTCTACTACTCACATCAGTGACACAAGGGCAGAGCATTCCCGGAGATTCAAGTCCAAGCCTCACTGTCCACCAAGGCCCACAGCTGTGTACACTCACTGCTTTTAAAATATGGGTGAGAAATTCAATAAGGGCTCTATCCAGTGGCACCTGCTAAAAGGACATGCTCTGGTTGGGCCAGCAGCCTGTGACCCTGATAATGGTGTGCTAGTGGTCTGGCCTCAGAAATTCCTGTATGATCACCATAGATCCGTATTGGCTTCCTCTGTGCCAGCAGGAGAGGATAGTTAACTCTTACTGGGATGTCACAGGCTACATTCTTTCAGAGGGCAGTGCTGGGGCAGGGGCAGGGGCAGTGACCTGGGTCATCCCAGGTCCTGGTGTGAGCTAAGCAGAACAAAGAATATGCTTTCCTTAGTGCCAAGGAAATTTCTAGAGACATCTAGAAAAGGTAAGGTGTGCATCAGCAAAGCCATCTGCAGAGAGGCTCCGAGGCAGCTTGGCAACAAAAGATGTTCCTGGAAGTGGTGACCTCACCACCCTGTGCCACACAGGAAGGTGCTTGCCTATCATAGAAACTGTCACACTGCCCTGGACCTTCCATGCAGTTGTATCTGGGGGTCAAATGCTATTTTCCATGAGCACAGTACTTTCTCTCCCACTATCCCCACATTTCCTCTTTGGGAAGATGGACAAACAGCCACAGATTGTAGTACCATTGATTACCAGATAAGGTAGTAGTAAACCAGCAGGCCTCCATCTCAGGCTTGTAAGCCACCTTATGGTAAAGACAAACTAGGTTCATTCCTATTTATGATTAAATCTGCCCTACCTGTAACCTTAACTACAAATGGTTCTGCACTGCCTGTTCCGGGAAATGGCAACCATGCCTTTGCTTCAGAAAGTTATGACCACCTTGTTATGCTTGTGTTCTGCTTCTGAGACCCCCCACCCCTGCTTGTTTGCCTGCTAATAGCCCCATTTGGAAACCCTACTTCTAAGTTATGAAAACCATATCTTCTCCACATCCAATGCTGTACTCTTGAACCCCACCTTAGGGAGAGATAGGCCATGTATACCAACAAATCTTGCTTTAATTAATTTGGCCACGATTTGGGTTGGTGGTTTTTCTCTTCAAATCTGTGGGATTAACAGTAGCAGGAACTTAACTACTGTGGCTTTCAGAAAAGGATGAACACCAGGGCACAGTCTCTGAGAGATTCTAGAGTCACAGATATATCAGAAGAGTCCAGAGAGCCACCCACCACCTCACAAAGCATCAGGAACGCTGCATGGCAGCATAACAGGTGCTGTTAGAAATGACCCCCTCAAGGCCCAGCAAAATGCACAAAGGAGGCCCTAGAATAACCCACCACCCACATAACACAAAAAAGGAGAGCCGAAAGAACACTGGGAGATCACAGTGGAGGGGCCGTGACGAGCTTGGGGGTGGTATTCTAGTAAGGACAATGCATCTGGGCAAAGACAAGCTCCCTGGTGACTGACAAAAGAATCCCCAGCACAGCAGCTTGTGCTGAAACAGTGACAATAATGATGGCTGTCTCGAGGGGGAGCAGAACCAAAGCTCCCTCCCTGCCCCCACACGGCTAGCCCTGCCTCTTCAGCTCCACTGCAGCATCATTCCTGGGGTGTCTGTCTTTCTCACAACACCTCCCAGGCCTGCCTCTCTGATGGGCACCATTCTAGGCTTCACTAAATGATAACCATGCAAGGAGACATTAATGGCTTTTTAATGACTCTGGTTCCAAATATGGAATCACTGCCAAGCCCAGGCTGCCAGCTGCAGCCCCGCCAGGAGGCTCAGACAGACAGGGCACTGATGGATGGGTCTTCCAGCTGACCCTGGCGGCTCCTTCATTATGGTCACCTCCTACTGGGAGCCAGACCTAGAAGGCCAAGGAATGTTCGAGTCACTGGCTCCATCTGTAGTATCCTCCCATTTGGCTGCTCTACCCAGGGTCAAAAAGGGGGCAACTTCAACTCCCATGGAGCCAGGCTATCTACAGCCACTCACTCCCTTGGAGGGACCAGACAGGTGTCTAGGGACTTGTGCTGTGGGCTGGAAAAGGCCAGTATAGCCAACACTATTAGGAAGCCTGTTTCTACCCTTCTCTTCCTAGATTCCATTTTGTAAACTCTGGCTAATTCACCATCACTACCAGAGGTCCAGGCCAGGACAACAGAGAGATAGACTCAGCCATCTGAATGCCCCATCCAAGCCCACTTTGCAGCCTGTCCCTTTTTTCCTACCTCACTCCTTCCCTCAGCCACAGCAGAAGCAGCTCTGAGCCTAAGAATCAGAGCAATAAGCTATAAGGAAGGACAAGCCACCCAGAATGTCTGAGCAACCTGAGCCAAACAGCAGAATGAGGGA